CTCTTCTGATTCATTTGCCTCTGTGTTGATGGTGTCCTTTGGTGCTAGTTTCAAAATCATTCATTCATTCATCTGATTCATTCATTCATCTGATTCATCCAGGTTCTGTTGTAATTCCTGGGAATGCAGCAGTAAACAAAGCAAAGTTCCTGCTCTCAGGAAGCTGACTTGCTTGTGGGAGGAGACAGAACATGAACAAATAAATATGCAGCATGGCAGGAGTGATATGTACAATGGAAGAACAGATGGTGGTCCAGCGTGCAGGGGAGGGGTGGGGGAGGTGGCAGTGCCATTATTTGTAGAGTGATCGTGGGTTTCTTTGATAAGGAGACATTTGAGCAGGGATCTGAAGAGGGAGGGAAGGAGCAAACCTATGGATATGTGGGGAGAGCCCCCCAGTAGGAGATATAAGCAAGGGTAAAGACCTGAGGTGGGAGTGTGCTGGGCATTTGGGGACAGCAGCAGGAGCGACTGGGGGGACCATGCATTAATGAGTCAGCAAAGGACAAGGGCAGCAAATGGGGTCTTGTAGGCCACCGAGAGGATACTGGCTTTTCTTCTGAGTGAATTAGTCACAGGAGGCTCTGAGCCTGCTAAAGGCTGTGTGGAGACTAGGCCATAGAGGGGCAAGGCCTGGAAGCAGGGGGACTAATTGGGGAATTGTTGCAACAACCCCAAGAGATGATGGAGGCTTGGATGGGGGACAGTAAAGTAATGGGAAGTGGATGGGTTCTGGATATATTTTGAAAGCAGAATCACCTGGGTTTACTGATAGATGAGAAAATGTGAGAGAGAAATGAATCTGGGTTTTTGGCCTGAGCAATGGGGTAGATAGTGGTCTACTATCTAAGAAAGGGAAGATGGCAGGAAAAGTAGGTTTGGGGGTGTTCCAATAACTATATCTACTGCCTAGTAACAAACCACCCCAAGCCTAGGGCTTGAAACATGATTAATTCTCACAAACCTGCAATATGGACAGAACTCAGTGGAGGCTTAATGGGTGCAGGTGGTATTAGTTGGGGGACGCAGCTGCTGGCTGGAACTATCTAAGGTTCGTCAATCCCATGCAGCAGTTGACGCTACCTATTGGCTGGGCCCTCGGCTGGGACTGTTGGCCAGAACTCCCACACCTCACCCACCCCATGTGACTGGTGGCTTCCTCACAGCATGGTGGCTGGGCTCCAAGAGTGAGCCTTCCAAAAACAAGATGGAAGTGCATGACAGTTCTATGCCCTAGCCTAGGAAGTCTCATAGCCTCATTTCTACTGTTCGCTCTTGCCTGACAGAGTCACAAAGATCAGTCTAGTTTCTAGGGGAGGGGGTATGGGCCTCGGCCTTCCGTGGGACATGTCAGCATCACATTGTAGAAGAGCGTATGGGATGGGAGATATTGTGGTTCCCATCTTCAGAAAATACAATCTGCCACCAGAGGGATCAAGATTTGTAAAGTGAGAGTGGAGATGTTGAGTAGGCAAGTAGATGTATGAGTCCAGACAGCTCAAGTCAAGGAAATAAACTTGGGAGGCTTTAGGTATTGCTGGTATTTAAAGCCATCTAGAACAAGTAGAAAGAGGGAGAGGGAGATTATTAAGCATTGCATTATTTATTGAGTGGTTATATACTCAGCATTGTGGGAGATAGTTTGTGGAAACTTTGTGGATACCATGTGGTAGAGCTCACTCCTCATGTGAACGGAGAGTTCAGCTCAGTTTCTGACTCTGCATTTTTATCTTGCTCCCAGTGCTCTTGGTGGGGGAGCCCATGATTAAATCTAACAAGCTTCTTTTGTCCTCAGGAAGCTGACCTCTCAGCTGTGCTTGGAGTGCCCTCAGGCTTTCCCTGAATAACAAAAGCCAAAAGCATTCAGATTTTTAAAAACCTAGAAACCTTCAAAAGGGCAATATTGAGAAATAAAGAACTGAATTATTCCATTGTTAAGCAACTTCATGTCAGGGTAAAAGAGAACAAGAAATTCTGGTGGTTAAAGTATTCACTAAAGGTTAAAAAAAAAGAAAAAGGAAAGAAAAGAAACAAGAAAGACACTTTTCATCCTTAAGAGATCTGATGAAGCTTAGAACCAAGGCCCCAGTTAAGATCTTTATTTTATGATCAGACTAAATGCCAGACTGTTGAAAAGGGGTAAACCATAAACTTCTGAGCATGGCACATAAAAGCTTTCATAATCTGGCCCTTTCGTTTCCAACCCTATTATATTCCATTATATTCTGGTCACTCCACTCCAAAATCCCCTAAACACGCTACACCTGTTGACCTCTCCATGGTTTTTTCCCCCCTTTTTGATTCCTGGCAAACTCCTACTCATCCTTCAAAGTCATCTGCTCTACAAAGCAGGTGGTTGCAGTCACCCTTCCGAGTGCTCCTATAGGCTTTTGTAGTCCCGTATTGTTTATCATCAGCCAGCCAGTTTCTTAAGGGCAGAAACCCCAGGTGCTTTTTTGGCAGCCCCAGCACCCAGTAATGCTGGGCTGAGAACCGATAATTTATGTGGGGGAACAAAGGCAGTAGGAAATGTAAATAAAATTAAATTTCCTTATAACTTGCAGCCCATTGACAAATACTTGAGGCAGGCAGAGTGTAACATTCCTCCAGGGAACTCCCAACTGTCTTACTGTTAATGCTTCACTAGACGGAAAAACCACCTTAGCTTGACAATAGCTAGGCCTCCAGGATCCTGGGAGTCTTCTTTAGCATACGAAAGTCCTTTTGGAAACTTCCCTGGTCTTTACCTCCCCCAACTTCATAGTATATAATCAGTTGCTCTTCACAATCCCCGGGCAGCCCTTTCTGCCCATGGGTCCTGTCCTTGTGCGTTAATAAAACCACCTTTTTGCACCAAAGACGTCTTGAGAATTCTTGGCCATCAGCTCCAAACCCTGACCAACATTACCACATCAATAATCACTAAATTTTTTTCTGTTTTTGGGATGGATATACTAAAACTTTAACAATGCTCTTTAGTGTAGAAAAGCACTTAGTTTCTGCTCCCATTTTCTGGGTCTTGCTTCTTGACTTGTCTGAGTAAGGTTGATAAGGCAGGATTTTCACTGTGGAGGAGTCTTTTGCTTGTAAGGAAGCCCCATGGCTTGGACAGGAGGACAGCATTATTCCAAAATCCTGGGGCTTGGTTTCTGCCTACTTCACAAATGGAGGTTAGGGAGACTTACATTTTCACCAATTTCTAATTTACTTAGGAGTTTGGCTCTTATCCTCTTATCCTGAACTTACCCTAGCACAGTATCTGTTGACTCCCTTTCATAAAATCTGAACTGTCAGGAATCAATGGTCTTCACAAATCATTTTTTGGGGAAAAGATTTTATTTATTTGATAGAGACACAGTGAGAGAGGGAACACAAGCAGGGGGAATGGGATGAGCTGTCTCCAGAATGCTGAAGATTTTGGGGAAGTAACAGATGTACCAGAGAATTCCCTCCCTGTATCTCTCAGTGGCTGTCACTACTAAGAAATAAAGAGAAACTCCTCTTGGCACAATAAGGGTTCTCCTCCTCTGTTGTTATCATACAAAACATCAGTGAGGTAGTTGTTTGCAGTCCGTAAACTTTACAACCATGCTAACTGGTCTTAAACCAGACACGGATGTGAAAGGTCCTGGCATGGGTGATGAGTTCAGTGTTCACAGGTAAGTCTACCTTCCATTCCAGTCAGCTCACCTCCTGGGATCTCAGGAAATCTTGAGATTTTCTCTGGAATCCTGGTGGCCCTTCTTCCTCTGGGGCATGTGGCTCCCTGGTGGGGAATCACCACCCACCATAACTAGAGATACTGCAAACCCACTCATGAACAGAGTTAACACATGCAGTGCTAGGAAGCCAAGGTCCAGAAGAGGGGGGGTGCGGGTAGGGAGGGGTGGACTTGGAAGAAGAAGCTGGGAAGTAGTTGGAGGGAGGGAGTGAAGGAAACAGGGTGATGGAGCCTGAACTTGGAACCAGGGAGGTCAGATCCAGTAAGAGAAAGTGAGAACCAAAGTGGTTGTTTTGAGGGGCAGATCAGGATTTGTTAGCCAAGACTAAAGCCTTGTCTTGACGCTCCATCTGGGACTGACAGGCAGAAGGAACAGCCTTCGTGTACTGTGCTGGAATGGGCAGTCATGTGCTGGCTGGATTCCCTGCCAGTGTTCAGGTTCAGCTTCATCTTTACTCCTTACTAACACCTTGAACTGAAATACACAATGGTAGGTGTGTAGACCTGAGCAGGGCTGGGGAGAGTGTCTCAGATCCAGGAGATGAATGGGTGGGGCTCTGTGTGCTTTGGGTGCTGTGGTGGGAAGAGAGGTAACCAGCAGGCTGGATGCTGGCTTTTTCTGTGAGTTTTCTCCTACTAAGTCCTTGAAGTGTCTCTGTCTCTAAAAAGACACTGTGATTGACTTCTGACCTAGAAAATAAAGCATGCTTGCCTTTCTACGGCTATGGAGCCCTATTTGAACCAAGCAGCCCTAGCAGCTGAGACTTCCATCCTGAAATCTGTAACATTATCTCATCTTTGGGTCATTGTACATTTGGGACTAGACACAGGAGGAGACTGGAATTTTCACATGCTAGTCTGTAAATGCCACGAAGGCAGGCCCTGTGTCTATATTCCTCCTTCCCGTGTCTCCAGTAGATAGCACAGTGCCAGGTACCATGTGCTCAGGACACATTTGTTGAATAAATAAATGACCCCGCCCCCAGCTTTAAATGTGAGGACCCTGGTTCATATTTCCAACAGGTGGGTCTAGCGGTTGTGTTATGAGACACATTCCCCAAGCCTCCCCATATCAGATCACTGTTACTTCTTTTTCCCTTCAGCCTCTGCCCTAAGCACAGGCAAAGATGTTACGGGGGTGGGGGAGGGGGTTTGGGGGAGGAAGGGAATCTGAAATTAAGCTAAAAGCATATAGTCCTGTCCTTACACAGTCTTCATGTTTTCTCCCTTCTTTCCCTTGTATTTAGTTATCTGGCTGTGCAAAAATTTACCCCAGAATGTAGCAATTTGAAACAACAAATATGATCTCACATAGTTTCCAAGGGTTGGGAATCTGGTCTATGGGGTGGTTCTGGCTCACGTTCTCCCACAAGGTCTGTTTGTTGGCCAGGGCGGCAGTCATCTGAAGGCTCGACTGGATGGGAGAGCTGCTTCCAAAAAGTCTCACTCACACGGCTGTTGACTTACCACGCGGGCCTCTCTGAGGAACTGCTTCAGTGTCCTTTTCAGTGTCCTCACGACACAGCAGCTGGCTGTGGTCAGAGCAGGTGAACAGAGAGTGAGCGAGCAGGGGCAGTACAAGGAAGAGGGACAGCGAGGGACAGAGAGGAGGGTGGAGGAAGGACACCTGCTCTCTGAAGTCCTACACTGCCACTTCTGCCTGATTCTATTCTTTGGAAGCAAGTAACTACATTCGGCCCACACCCAAGATGTGGGCAGTTAAGCCCCACCTTTTGAAGGGAGGCATCTCAAAGATTTTGTGGAAATATTTTCAAGCTATTACAGCCCTCTGTCAGAGTCTCCATCCTCCTGGCCATGTTCCTGCATCTCTCTCATTTGCCCTTTTTCTCGTAAGTTGGCTAATCCTCATACCTCTAAGCCAACTTTCTCATAAATTAACTAATTCTAGGGGAATTGTAAGCTTCCTGTAGATTCTCTCAGGCCCCGGAATCCTGATACCCCCCCTTTTTTTCCATAGCTTAGTGTTTTTCTACAGCACACCTAAATATGTTGATGTAATTAATTTGCATTAAAGTATAGAGGGCTCATCAACTCACTGGTCCAAGTGTGCTTCCCATTTTTAAAAGGGACAAAGAGAATCCTCACTCTAGAAAGTACCTCTTTAACCTAAAGGAGAGACTTTGCTGGTAGTGTTAAGTGTGATGAATGTCTGAGGCAGAGTCAGGCTAGTCCCACAATGCCACAAGGTGATTCTGCTGGAGGGAGGTATGAGCACATAAGAGGAAGGGCTTACTCAGACCTGCTCACCAAAGTGCTCTCTTTGTTCTTTCTGTTTCTTTCTGTCTCTTTGTCTCCATTTCTCTGTCTCCTGTCTCCCCCAATGCCCGTGTGTGTGTGTGTGTGTGTGTGTGTGTGTGTGTGTGTGTGTATCTTTGCTCTGTGACTTAAACTGGCATTCAAACCCCTTCTCCACACCGTCCCCAACTTTGCACTGTTGGCACCTCTTCTGATTCTTAGAAGCTCTTTTCTCTTTTTCCCTAACTTCCTACCCACTTCTGCCCCAGATGTTATTATTAGCAGATTTTGGGACAGTTACTTGTTTCATTCAAACAAAAAAGAAACAAAACCTCTGCACCTCTGCATAATGTAGCAGTAGACTTCAGTTTAAACAAGTTGTATTTCAAACTGGATATAACAGAAAATGTTTCTTAAATAAAACTTGTTTTCCTGATTCTGAAAGTAATACATATTAGTTCCAGAGAATTTGGATTTTATAGAGATGCACAAAGAAGAAAATTATAATTGTCAATTATTCTATGATCAGAGATAACTGAGGTTAACATTATGATATATGTCCTTTAGTGTTTTACATACAGAAACACACACACACACACACACTATTGGGATATTCTGTACATATTGTTTCATAATCTACTCACCTTTTTCTTTTTTTTATTTGAAAAAAATTTTTAAAGATATTTGAGAGAAGAGAGAGAGAGTGCCTATGCACGTGCACGAGTGGGAGGTGGGGCAGAGGGAGAGGGAAAAGTAGACTCCCTGCTGAACAGGGACCCCTGGGGCTTGGTGCCAGGATGCTGAGATCACGACCTGAGCCAAGGCAGACGCTTAACTGATTGTGCCACCCAGGTGCCCCTCTACTTACTTTTTTTCTCATTAATATTTTATGGTGGACATTTTCCCATGCCAGTATTTTTCTACAAAAATATTTTAAATTACTACATAATAGTCTACTATATGACTACATCAAAATTAAAATTTATTTAATCTACTATTCTTGGACATTTCCGATATCTCCCCCCTCCCCTACACACATTTATTTGCTGTTAACAATAATACTGTGTTGAACCTTCTGTTATTTTAAGTCTTTATCCACATCTATGTTTATTTCCTTAGCATAATTCCTAAAAATAGAACAGTTGGATTAGAAGGATGCGCACTGTGGGTTCTTGGTACATGGAGCCAAATTAATGTTCAGAAGGGTTATGCGGATTTCTACTCGTTAGCAATGTATGAGAATGCTGTTTTTCTACACTCTACATAACATTGACTATCATCAATTTTTTTCTCTATTGATTTTTAGTTTGATTCTACTGTGTTCAGAAAAATATACTTTGTATGAATTCAATCCTTTTAAATTTATTGAGATTTGTTTTATAGGCCAGAATGTTGTCTATCTTGGTCAGTGTCTGATAGGCACTTGGAAAGAATGTGTATTCTGCTATTTTTAGGTAGAGTGTTCTGTGTCAATTAGGGCAAATTGGTTGATAGTGTTGCTGAAATCTGTATCTTTGCTGATTTTCTATTGCCTTGTTCTATCAATTACAAAGAGAAAAATGTTAGAATCTCCCACTATAATTTTGCATTTGTCTATTTTTCCGTTCTATCAACTTTTTTTTTTTTTTTT